TGGTGAATGTTCATAGAGACTATATGTGTGATGGAAAGGAATGGATTCCTGGTAGTGGTTGCACCGATCACATGACCGGCGACAAAGACATGTGTCGTGAGCTTGCTAACAGTGATGGTCCACACAAGTATGCGAATTTTAGATACAACTCCAAGGGCAAGGTAATTGGCCTTGGTAAGGTGGGCATATCACATGATAGCTCACTAAAAAAATGTCATGCTATTGAGTCTCTTGGATACAATCTACTATATGTATCTAGATTTGCCGATTTTGATTTTAATGTTCCATTTACCGAAGTAGATTATCAAGTTTTTTATCAAGATAATCATATATGGGTTTTACTGGTATTCGTAGAGACGATCTATACATTGTTGATTTCATTAAAAAAAATCTAAACCTCGTACATGTCTTATTACAAAATATTCTAAAGGATGGTTATGCATAGAAAACTAGAACATGTTGAAATGCGTAACCTTGATAATAAGCTAATCAAAAGATGATCATATTCTTGGTGTTAAAAATGTTATCTTTGACAAAGATAGACTTTGTAGTGCTTGTAAGCTCGAAAAAATTACCCGTGAAAATATCAATGCTACGAGGAGACCACTTGAACTACTTCACATGAATCTTTTTGGTTCAAATGCTTACAGACCACCTGACACTGGTTCTCACATTCTGCATTTATTCCATGTCTTTCGGCGTGCGTTTAGTGAAGAGACGTTCCCGTCGACTATAAATGTGTATGTGGCGACTTCGTCGTACCGGCTCAGTTTCTCAGAGGTGCTCACAGGGGTAGGGTGTACTTATGTGCGTTCATACTTCATAGAGATAAATGTATGCAAATGGTCACTTTAGAGGACGGGTACATTGGAGTATATTTTGAATAATGCCAAAATGCTTTTCTGAAGTTTCAAAAAATTCTGAAAACAAACCAACACGTTTATATGAATGTATATTACACATGTGCAAATTTTGATGCTGAAATAAGTAACCATGTGAGTTACACAAAAAAGACAAATCATGATTTTGGAAAAATGAACAATAAATGCATTATTCACTACTTGAAAATCATCATTTTGTCATTTTTGTATAGCTCACATGTTTACTTGTTTCATCACCAAACTTTACACATGTGTAATAACATCCATATGATCAGGTAGAATTATTTTCGGTTTTTTTGAAACTTTAAATGTGATTTGTAAAGTAATTAAAATAAAGTCCTCCGATACAGCCGGGCTCCAAAAATCCACTCTCGTAATGTGAGAAAAAATGAGATGATTCTATGAGACGACTGATAATCGGCCCAATTACCGTTGATGAGGCTCAGTTGGCAGATACAACCAGATCAACGGATGAGATCTCTTCTCCGCATTCCCAAATGTTCCTCGTCCGCCGCCGCCTCCTCTCCACCGCTGCGGCGGTTGCCGCTGCTCGCGGCCCACCGCCGGTCCGCGTCGCCTTGACGGACTCAGCCGGCCGCGGAGTCTTCGCTACCCGCCCCATCGCCAGCGGCGAGGTCCTCCACTCGGCGCAGCCTCTCGTGACCCATCCGTCCCGCTCTCTCTTCCACGAGGTGAGCGCCCGCCGCCCCCCACTTGCTTCATATTCGCTACGAATGGAGTGAACTATGTCGGATTGGTGTCCTCAGGTATGCTACCGCTGCCTCAAGAGGAAAGCGGGGAAGAGCGACGACTTGAAAGGGGGCTGCTACTTCTGCAGCGACGCGTGCCGGGAGCATGCCGAGGTGAGGATACCTTTGCACTATTCCTCCTGCAGATTCAGTAGGTTTTAGTGGTCTCGTATTATTCATTTGTACAGTTCCAGTAAGGACAGTGTGTGCTACCTTGTTCTTCTGTGAGCATTGACTCTAGTCTTCACACTATTATTCTTAATAAAGAGATTGCGATTTGTCATGACCGCTTAACTATATTGTATGATGCTCCTTGGACTGTCAGACGGATAAAAGATACCATTGCTAATTCCGCTTCTTTCAGAAGAGCAAAATTACTGTCTCTTTTAAGCGGCTAAGATGTGTGGTTTCATCCTTGTTTAGGGATTCCATGGCATTGAGAAGAAGGCGGATTGGTCTTTGTTAGATGACCACTGTAGGTATGTTTGTTACTACATTTCATCATGATGTTGATGTGCATCTCATGACTTCTCTCTAATAACGTTGTCAGTTATATTCGTTTTGTTATTGTTATGATATTGCCGTTTTGCTTGACATTCGATTGTCAGTGTAACATCTTGGCTTATCTGTCTTTATTCTTGTATGCTCTGAAGTTCACGTGGTCTCAAGTACCCATACATGGTCAAGCGGCTGGCTTGCATGGTTATATCAGGAGACGTTGGTGCAGATTGTCTTGACATTCTTCAGCCAGCCCAATTGCACCAGGGTACACTTATTGAGGTAACCCTTTTTTCCGAGCTGTCGAGCTAGTTTTTTATACTGAGAATGGAGTTGATTTTTTCTTATGCTTCATATGTCCATCTTCACACAGAAAAAAGAATGTCATAGCATTCACATGTTTCTTTCCTTATGTTGTTGTACGGTTGGTCCTGACATGGATATAATTGGAACATAATAGATGGACGAGGAGTTCGAATTGTTGAAGTCCACTTTTAGGAAGGCAGGGTTTCAGGAAGAACTCACAACTTGTATCCTTTTATATCTTATTTCACCCTCTCTATCATTTGGTTTTCCTGGACTTATTACAACCTCATTTTCATGGTTAAGTTTCTTTGACAGTATTAGTTTTGACCAAACAATGGTACATCAATGTACTTGCAAGAATACGTGTCAATGCATTCCGTATTGAATTGGTTGCAAGTTCATATGAGGATCTTCTATCCTCAGCAGTAGCCTCGGTAGCATGTGATGCATCAGTTGGCAATGCTGTATATATCCTCCCCTCGTTCTACAACCATGACTGTGGTATGGCTCTTCACATGCTCCTGTTAACGGGAAAGGGGAGATTAATATCTATCATAATGGCTCTTATTATGACTTCTAAAGTTCTTATTTGAAAGCAAAGATTTAACTGCTGCATTTCCCTGTGACATAAAATTTGTTGTTGTCTTGTTGTGGCATAGTAAATGTTGATTGTGCTGTCTGAGTTTTCAATATTATTTTAGTACTATGCAACTCCAAGTTATACCCACTAATGTAGCATTTGTTTGCTTTCATTTCACTCGATGATGAAGTACCTATATTGTTTTACATTCGAAAGATGATTAATTGTCTTCCAATTGATGCATTAGAAAGAAGATTGCTAGTATAATGGTGACACACACCAATGGATGTAATTTCATCCTATAATAAAGCAGCGAGTTTTCTACTTCTTGGCTCTCGCTTCCCTTTCTTTTCAAATTCAAATCCAAATATCCATATTCTTTTCCTGTCAACTTGCAGATCCAAATACTCACATAGTTTGGCTGGAAAATGCAGACGCTAAATTGACGACCCTTCGTGATATTGACGAAGGTATAGATAGGTGTAGCCGTACCTATGTAGCCTTTGTTCTCTTGACAACAGTTAAAAGCAAAAACACTGATGGGTACCAATATCTTAATGCTGCTCTTTTGCATCTGTCATAGGTGAAGAGCTGCGTATCTGCTACATTGATGCAAGCATGGATGTGAACGCCAGGCAGAAGATTCTCACTGAAGGATTTGGCTTCCAGTGCCGTTGCCAACGGTGCTTATCTGGGGACTAAAATTCATCTTTTACCTTAATGGCCGCTTCCCTTGACGTGCATGACATCAGTTTCTGCCATGGTTCATTGAATTCACATAAGGTCGCCGACCATGAGGACTGCACCTCTGCATCTGATGAAGCCAGTAGGCACCAACACTTGCAGGTTCCTGTGTCAAGATATGCCCCCATTGTGAAGTGAACTGGTAGAGTCCAAATACTTAATAGACAGTTTTATAGGTTGCCGCTGACCAAGTGCTAAAGATTGTAAGTTGACATTGTAAGATCATTAGGTGTTTGTTTAATGCCATGTTCGTTTAATGCCATTGTTGAAGTTTCACATATGTATTCAATCTTTGATGCATTCGCTATATAGATTTGTCAAAGCTACCATCAGTTTTTCTTTTTTGAAAGGAAAGCTACCATCGGTTCTTTGTGAAAGAAATCTGTCTTCACATCGTCATTTCTTATGCAGGTTAAACATGATAATTGAACCTGTCGAGCTATCTATGATGTGGAGAAAGAAGAATCAGTTAAAACATAACAAATTCAGTTCCCTGGATAATAGGCAAACATAATATTTTTACTTCAACTGTACAGTGTCCTTTTGATTTGTAATGTTAAGATAGTTCAATCAGTATCCTTCCAATTTGCAAAGAGCAGCTTCATCGTCGCTCCTGTTTTCAGTTTAATTTAATGATCAGTTGATGAATGGAATTGATTTTTGTATTAACAGTTCTGTGTCTCCCACTCTCTACATACTTTTAGAGTTTCATTGACCCCAACAAACTGAGACATTGGGGAAACATGGGCCGCCTGCACATTTTCTAGTTATACTCCCTCCGTTCGGAATTACTTGTCTCGGAAATGGATGTGTCTAGAACTAAAATAAGTCTAGATACATCCATTTTTGCGACAAGTAATTCCGAACGGAGGGAGTACTTTCTAGGAAGATGTACTCGTCGAACTGAGGATGTCCGGCTCATACCATGCCGAATTTTGTACACCAACAGTTGATACATACAGGTCTTTATAAATGGTCAGTATAGTCCTAATTAAGCAAGCTTGGCAATCGCATACGACACAGCAAGTCACTCATAGAAGCACCATAACATTGCAGCTACTTTGCTCGAAACACCTCAAAACTCCCCAAAAGAAAGGCTTGCATAATGTTTATTTATTTAATTGTTTTTATGGTAACATGATTCCCTTGATGAATGTGTCACCAACTTATCTTGTTTAACTGTTTACATGAATCAGAAATAATTTGCAAGGATTGACAACCAAGCTTGTCCCAGTTGGATGCTCAGTTCAGGAGTCCAGACGCTCGGTAGGATTCAACGCTGTCCCCGAGGGTCTTCTCTACAGGCCTGAAGGTCCACCCTAGCTTCTGAAGTTTCTCTGAACTGTAAACAAGATTTCCTTCCACTTCCGTAAAGCTACATAGTAATTTGGAGAGAAAAATAAGTTTCATACAAGTTAAGCATGGAAAAGCAGGGGTGAAGGACACACATCGAGCAGCATTGGTTGATTTGGTGAAACAACATTGGTTCATTAAAATTTTACAGTCCATGTCACAAACTACATGCTCACTGGTATGGATACATGCAAAGTGTTACAATTCTAGGAATGTGAATCTCTATTAGGCTTTACTCAATTTGTCAGCCCCATTCAATTACTTGAATTCTACAATTAGTAATATCAGGAAAGACAAATGGATGGTGAATTCTTCTAGTACCTTTTCGAAGTGAACTGAAGGTTATTTATCCTTCCTTTTTAGGCAGTGCCAACTAACTCATGATATATAAAATAGCCATAGCGCGGGTAAGATAAACAAAGTTGCTTGCCGAGGAATGCGCTTACCTTTTGGGATATGTGTAGGTTGGATATAAGGTCTTCAGTATGTTTACCATATCACAGACTTTTATTGCAGGTGCATTACATATGTACCGTCCAGACATCTCTGGATTCTCATACGCCAGAAGAATAGCATCGGCAACATCACGAACATCCACTATATCCCTGCTTTTATTTTCTACAGTATCATGTTCTCCTGCAAAAAGATAGATGTTTTAGTAATACAGAAACAGAATTATAATCCTAAACTAGTTTGGTGAACAGCTTCATTTTTTTTTTTGAGGGATGGTGAACAGCTTCATTTTAATGATATGCAGGTCTTCTTTGCAATTAAATAGTATCCTTTGTTCAGTTGGAAATGTGCAATCGAGTGCAGAGATCCTTTTTGATGTCCAATATATAATGAAAACAAAGAGAAGACTAACATAACAACATAACACACCCACCTTTCAAATAATTAAGGAGAACTTTACTGCTCGTATTTACTGTGGACTGCATCAAGGGTCCAATTACCAATGATGGGCATATAGTTACAATGTCCAACGCAGTTTTTGCTGCATAAGAAAAAGCCTCGCGCTCCGCCAGTGTTTTGGAAAGGTAATACCAATCCTGCAATATGACAACACATGTTTGTTCTGAAATAGGTGATCCGGAAAACATAATTATCTTATATAAGAATAACAAGACAGGAAAAGTATCTTGTGTGGTTAGCGGAAGAATTTTGTATTAACCAAAAGCTGAAAGCCAATTATTGCTGATGCTTCCCTTTTGGAAAATCCTCTCTTGTGTGGTCTAGAGACATGGACGAGCATGAATAGAAACAGAGTGCATGAATAGAAAGTGACTTTGAGTTTGCCTGTTTAGAGTCAGAGCAGCCAACCTGTTAGTTAAAACTAAATTTTCAGTCAATGCCAACTACCAATAGGGTTTTGCTCTGTTTTGCTTCCTTTTTTTATTGTATTCTTCCTACTTTTGGTTAGTTTGTAGGTGTTGGCTAGCCTAGACCTTGTATTTTTTCTTCTTGGTTTTGGCCGGTTTGCTTTGCAACTTTTGTGCCTTCTTGGCCATAGGTTTTGTTAATAAGAGGTAATTACAAGAGTCTATTTCAAATCGTGAGCTGCTGATGAGATAGGTATACTGTTAAACTTCATGCACTAGCCAAAAGTCCGAACTGATGGAAAGGGCTAGTGCAATCCACATATACTGTAACACCCCCTCTCACGTGTTACAGAGAAGACAAGTCAACACGTGCAACCGGAAGAGAGCGACGGCGCGCGAAACTCACGTATGACTCAAGAGGCCTATACGTGGACACAAAGGGCTAGTGCAATCCACATATACTGTAACATATACATGGCTCAGATTAATAATATCCCACCAACACAAATAACAGGGTGAACTCAAGACATAAAAAGGAGTTCCATCAACGAAATATTTAACCAGAAAAGACAGTAAGTGTTCGAATGGGCTCTAGACTGATGATCAACACAAGGTGGACCGAATCTCGCTAAAAGATACAGCTCTAGGGAGGATCAAGGCCAGCGAGCAAGTGACTGATTAGATAAGATTCTTTCTGGACATTTGTTCTCATGCTGGGATGTGGTGTTGCAGTAGACATGTGAGTGTAACGGGTTTTTTGTTGTGTTTTCGCAGCTAAACGCTAGTGGTCTACATTGAGCTTAGTGGTTTCAATCGGATCGAAGTTAGAACTTAGAACTAGAGTGGTTTACCCACCCTTTGATTTAAAGAAAGAGGTAAATGACAACATTAACATCCTATACTACATTCCAAGTGAAACATTGAGCCTGAAAATTAGGAGTCTGTAATACAGGTGTTGCGTTACTTACCCCATTCTTTCTGCAGTAGTCCTCGTCTGACCAGCTCTCTTCATCAAAGGCTTTGCCCTTGGGCCAGTGAGGATTAGCGACAACTGCAGCACCTGAAGACACCATGACTACTCGCTTAACTTTCGCCTCATGGCAGGCCTTCAGCACGTTCAGTGTGCCTGTTACAGCAGGAGCTATGATCTCTGCCTGCAGAGCAGCAACGAATACATCATCAGAATAAATAATCATCTCTAGAAATCAACTGTGTGGTCTAAATGCAGATAATAATGGCACTGGCAAAAGAAAAGAAGTAATGTATGGCAGGTGAGCCTCAAACCGGATAGCCAGATGCTGCACAAAGCATAAACATCTGCTACACTGCTTCCATGACCCAAATAAAGCATGGTTAAATGTTGCAGATCTCACGCTTTATACAGTATACATTCAGAATGTCTCCTGCCAGTCAGAGATCGTCGTCCTTTTAGGGATCTTTGGACAACGTTCTTGAGAACATTTCTGCCGAAGGTCAGGTAAAGTTACTCCTGCTGACAGACTGCATTCTACCAAGGGGACAGTTTTTTTATTTTTTGGAATTTTTACAGAGGGGACAGTTGTTGATAGTTCACCTCGGGGTTCGTTGATCGGCCAGAGGGGACAGGGCAGGCCACATGGAAGACGCCATCACAGCCAGCAATCACCGATGCTACGCTGTCGTAGTCCAAAAGGTCAGCCCTGACGAGCTGCAACCTTTCCTCGGCACCTTCTAGCACATTGAGGTGGGCATTCTTAGCATCACCTGCATCACAAAGCATGTCACCACCAGCGTATATAACACAACATTCTTTGTCCAAAACATGTACACGTACTTGTTATTTTTGTGAAAATGGAAGCTTAGCCAAACCATCAAAACAAGTATGCTCAAGTAATCTTGAAATTTTAAGAAACTATAGGAACGTAGGATCTTCTGATTCTTGTGGTTTGTTCCAAGTTTTGCTCCATGAGAATGGATCTCAAGAAGAAGAAAAAAAACGGAGCATCAAATTTTAGGATCTCAAAATGCTTCAGCTGACTTCCAAGTCCCAGCAACCACGTATGCTCGGCTGGCCTGCTTCGCCGCATTTCGTATCAACAGCAACCATTCTACTACTGAAAATATGGGAGCGACGGAAGGAAGGCCGGGGCGCGCTCTTACCGGGATCGCGGGCGGTGCCGCGGACGGTGTAGCGGGTCTTGGAGTCGGAGAGGAGGAGCTTGACGAGCCACGAGGCGACGAAGCCCCCTGCGGCGGTCACGCACACAACGCTCCTCTTCGCCGCCGCCGCCTCCATGT